GATTCACAGTTCTCTTTCTCAAAACAAAGTTGTTTAACAAACCGTTTCTCATAATTACCATTACAATACTATAGGAACATTTTCCAATTGTTAATTCACGCAAAGCGCACCGAGCATTTTTCACGAACTCCTGCAGCTATGTATGTACAAGCCTGGTGATAATTTTCGCCATAGAAACGATACTTATACTGTTCTGTTCCTAGATAATGCTGGCTTGCCTTGGGTGATGGGGCGTAGCCGCGGAGCTTCAGCTGGGCGCGGTGGCACCTCGCGCGGTGGCCGCAAATCGTATGTGAACACAATTCAGAAAGCCGCCCCGAATCGGACTCCCAATCAGACTCCCAATTGGACTACATGTGAACACACCCTTAGCAAATGCAAGCTGGCATACTCGTCATCACCGACTCGCCACTGGCCGCAACGAACCCTTTTCCGCAGGTCAAAGTGAACGAAACCTTCGGGATTTACTCAATGCATCATTATGTTGTTTCTCGCCAAGTAATGGTGTAATGTGATCATGTTGGAAATGATCGACACTCATATACCAGGGAATGGTAACCACAGTAATAGGACCCGGCTGGGGTCCGGCGTTTCGCTGGTTTTAAAAGACCATTGCTGTCCGTAACGTCAGATCTCATCTTACCTGCATCTGCACCTGACTTGATGCAACATTTTATCCTTTTTTGCGGTCGACTTTGGGCGACTGAAATAACGGGAGCCGCACACCTGCCTATCTGTACGTCGTGCTGATTGGCACCAAGAAAAACCCGTACAGCGTATTGCTAAGATATACTATTCCTATATAATAGTCAGTTAGGTGGGCCCGATTATGCATGATTAACGTTCAGCAACTGTTAGGATGAGAATTGTATGATTTGGGAATCGTAACGAAAGGCTGGACTACAGCGCTAGAGCATCAACCCTGAGCATGGGACACGGCACAAGACATAGATGCGCCTTAGGAACATTATTTAGCGCTGGATCTCTGTTCGCCGGCGCGCTCGTAATCGCACTAGCAACACTCCCATGGCGGAGCTTAGCGACAGCTATGGAGGGCACCGGTGAGTTTGAACAAACTACCAAGTTCTTTTCAATCCAAAGATGCTCCACTATGCTCATTTTCTTTTTTGTCATGAAGCAAGGCTTTGTTTCGGCCATGCACAGGCACGCCATAGTTGGAACTGCAATTGATGAGCCTCTGACCAATCAAAACATCTTAGGCTTGCAAATGCCATTTGGGGGGTGTTTCCACTTGGATTAAAAGTCGTGAATTAAGGCTTGAGAAAACCTAACACGTCGCATATGGAAACATCGCGCGGATTAGGACGGATTAGGCGCGATTAGTTAGAGGTTTCCGCCCGTATTCGCGCACTTCGCGGATTAAATATATATTAATATGCTATGAGATGCGCGCATTATTCCTATACTAAAAGCTCAGACTTGGTGGGAAAAATTTGCCACCTGGTGGACACCAGGTATCAAATTGACAATCTCGGATTACCACTTTTTACGACGCCTCATAAAAAGCCTGATTGATAGATTGGAATGTTATCCTTTATAAAGGCTGTAGGTGTTCCAAGTTTTGTGGAAGTTTTGCGTTTCTTGTTCGGCATTATGCACCACACCGTGGGTGTCGTTCAAAGGTGCTGCAAGGCCTTCGTGTTGATACTCGATAATCTTTGAAATGTCTGGCAATACTCGTTTTTGGGTTTTATGCACGGAAGGGCAAATGTCGTACTTCAATCCGTTTCTTAATCCAGACGTATGAAACATTCCTCATGGATTACCGGCGGATTGGCGCGGATGAAAAATACCTTGATCCGTGACTTTTAATCCAAATGGGAATAGCCCCCAATTCATTGAAGGATCTTTATTACGGAAGGTGTAAATTATGCCGCACTGTGTGCACAGAGAGCACGTGCTCTCAAGCATTTTCGCAGCATGCGAAAGCATTTCGCAAACCCAGGCGCTCTTCACGTCAACCAGGCACAAATTATTTTTAACAAGCAATGTGAAGAGCTCAGTAAACGAGTGCGGAAGACATGCTACGACGGTATGTGGTGCGACCCGCTCCCTGGAGCATCCACCACATCACGACAAAACGATCGATGTTTACAACGCGTACGAATAAAGGAATATTGTCCTGCCGCACCCAACGCAACGAGCTGCCGTTTTGTCCCTCTTCCAAATGCGCATCAACCCGGACTGCCGCCAACGGATGCAGCATCTTTGGCTCATGACTTGGAGAAGCATGGCTTCCCGCATAGGGACAACGACGTCGGAGAAGTAGCGGCAGGGAGGGAGGTCACGAAGCGCGGCGAAACCGCCGTGATGCGTTTGCTGGCTCAGGAACGGCGGCTTATAACGTACCAGATGCTGCCATCGCAACCGCCATCACAACCGCCATCACAACCGCTATCACAACCGCCATCAGAACCCCTCTCTCCGCCTCGCTGGCCGCCTGGCCCCCTGGCGCCCCCTCCCTCTCCGTCGCTGCCCTCAATCATTAATCACAACAACTTCATCGTCAACTATTCCGCACCAATGTGCCTGGCCAGCTCCAAATTTGGCGCCGACGAGGTGCACGACTCACTGCTCGAAACGGACCGATTAAAAATCCTGGCTATTAAGCTGCACAGATTCGTACCGCTCGACGGGCCTGGCGGCTCAATACTGGTCGCCCTCGAGGTCTACGTTTCCGAAGAATATCTTGGGGAATACTGGTTGACTATCGCCGGCAGCCTCTTCATTCCTGATGCAGGCCCATCGCTCATCACCTCCGAAACCATAACCATACATGGAAAACCGCTAACCGCCGTAACTACCTGCTGCAACGCCGGTGGCACTGCCAGCGGCTTGGCCCTGCACTACGCCAACGGCACGGTGGAAAGAACGTACGGATGCCGTTTCTACGAATACGGCGGCGGCGGCAGCAGCAGCAGCAGCAACAGCATCATTGCGGGCGGCAATAGCACCTACCCGGTGGTGGAGGTGCCGGCGGGAGCATGGGTGGGATCACTTCGCGCCACCGCGGCAGCAATTATTGGATCCATTTCGCTGGGAATGGTGTCTCCCCCACGTGAGTACGATAGTACGAGCGATATCAGGGGAGGGTGGCAGCCAAAACGCGAGGTGGTCGATGGCGAGGAGAAGGCAGATGAGAAATAGCGGTGACGATAGTGATGGTAAATAAATTTAGTAATGGTAGTGATGGTAGTGATGGCGACGGTGATAGTGCTAAGGGAATTTGGCGGTAGTTGGGCAGTTTACTGGCGCGGCGTTTATGATATGAGAAGTAAGGGGCTGTAGGAGCGGGGTTGGTAGGTAGGTAGGTAGGTAGGTAGGTAGGTAGGTAGGTAGGTAGGTAGGTAGGTAGGTAGGTAGGTAGGTAGGTAGGTAGGTAGGTAGGTAGGTAGGTAGGTAGGTAGGTAGGTAGGTAGGTAGGTAGGTAGGTAGGTAGGTCCTTGCTTGTTAGGTAATTAAATGGGATCGGGGGTCTGGAGCGGTTCTAGGGTGTACGGCCTATCGTATATTTGTTTGTTTATGTTAGGTAACATTTATATCTATATAGATGAATTGCTTCCTAGCATTGCATCCCGCGTCGCTAAGGTATGCCACTGCGAGCGTATCTACCTACCTACCAACCTACCTAACTACCTAACTAACTACCTAACTACCTGCGAACAGAGATTAAATGCTTTCGTATGGGGATGCTGTCTGTTGCTTCTGTGAGGACCTGTGAATAATCCTTTTAGGCCTCTTGCTGGGCCGTGATGGTGAAGAGCTCTGTTTTCCTTCTTACAACTCCTCACAACAAAAGTTTTGAGTTGACTGTTGACTGAGTTGACCACCCGAACGGTACCAGGTCAATAATAGCGGGAGAGCTTTTCGTTTTGGTCGCACAGTCATGCCATGTAATGCCATGTGCCGTCTATACCTGCAGCTCCACCGCCGTCACCGCCGTCACCGCCATCGCCGCCGCTGCCGCCGTCGCCGC